CACTTTGGATTGGGGCTTTGGGCATGAATCAAAATTCTTGAAATTTATGAGCCAATTCCTTTGGTTTCCTTTCTTGGTTTCATGTATGTTTTTTTTCCCCAGTGCAGCCCTTATTATTTATACCACCAACGTCCCTGCTTTGAAATGACCTTCCCTCCCACATTATTAATAAAGGCCTGTACATTTTCTGCAAGGTTTTAAATGAGCTAAAACCACGATATGCTGCCAGTTTAAATAAAACTTCTTTACTTGAAAAAGATTGGAATTAATGTTTAAAGATATTTATTAAACCCATGACCATACACAGGAAAAGAGGTTGAAAGACAAATGGATGGACCTATTTATATACATTAGAAATATTAAATATTCATTAAATATTGATGTGATCTGTCGAGTCATGTGACTCGTATGCATATATCTCAGAAATCCAAAATCTGAAATTGACTGACATAAAATAACCAATATATGTGATAATTGATAATAAATATATTGTGTCAATTGTATAACTGTCTTCTTTCAGTATGACAAGCACCTTCAATATGAGTTAAGGATTTGATTATCATTGCCTGGTAATTACCATTCCCATGTCTGTATTGGTGCCCGGTTTCCATGTTTGAGCCACAGCACTGTAGTGCACAAGGAAACAGGTCATACCTAATTCCCCAGTTACACACATGACCATCAATGTTATCCTGCTTAAGCACGGAACTCTAAGCTACAGGAGTGAATTCCATTTTTCTGATAAACAATATAAACGAAAACAAATAAAAGCTAGTAATTCAATAAAATGTCACCTTTTTCTACAGTGTTTTAGACCAAACAATGTGTCACTTCCCAAGTTAATAAGGCTGTCTCAGACTTGAGAAGCTATTTGTTTCTTATGGCAGCTTCTTGTCTGTTGTCATTGAAAGCAGTTCTATTGCTCTGCCTAGGAACTCTTTTTTTTTTTATGCGTACTTCCAGTTTAACCCAGTACGTACTTCCTGTAAACCTTTTGGTACACCAAAATGTATTTCTTACACGTATTTGTTGGTGTTATGGGTACGTGCTGCAGAACCATGATGTTTCCTGTGTTCTTATAATAGTTCCTTATCAGGAGTATAAAACACTGCTTAGGGAGGATGGTATTTGTTAAATACTAATGTACATTGATGTCAAAGGTCAGATACAAGCGCTTTGGACTATTTCCTCTTTAGGCATTGATTTAAAGAAACATGATAGCAACTAAAATGTAGAACATGAAGTTATGTGGTTACAGACATGTATTTGTGACCAGTGGCTGCTGGGTGAATGCCTTGAAGCAGTGAAATAATACTCTCTACATACTGTGCATCCGGAAAGTATTCACAGCGCATCACTTTTTCCACATTTTTTTATGTTACAGCCTTATTCCAAAATGGATTAAATTCATTTTTTTCCCTCAAAATTCTACACACAACACCGCATAATGACAACGTGAAAAAAATTTACTTGAGATTTTTGCAAATTCATTAATAATAAAAGAACTGAGAAATCACATGTACATAAGTATTCGCAGCCTTAACCATGAAGCTCGAACTTGAGCTCAGGTGCATCCTGTTTCCACTGATCATCCTTGAGATGTTTCTGCAGTTTAATTGGAGTCCACCTGTGGTAAATTCAGTTGATTGGACGTGATTTGGAAAGGCACACACCTGCCTATATAAGGCCCCACGGCTGACAGTGCATGTCAGGCCACAAACCTGGCATGAAGTCAAAGGAATTGCCTGTAGACCTCCAAGACAGGATTGTCTCGAGGCACAAATCTGGGGAAGGTTACAGAAAAATTTCTGCTGCTTTGGAGGTCCCAATGAGCACAGTGGCCTCCATCATTCGTAAGTGGAAGAAGTTCGAAACCACCAGGACTCTTCCTCGAGCTGGCCGGCCATTTAAACTGAGTGATCGGGGGAGAAGGGCCTTAGTCAGGGAGGTGACCAAGAGCCTGATGGTCACTCTGTCAGAGCTCCAGAGGTCCTCTGTGGAGAGAGGAGATCCTTCCAGAAGGACAACCATCTCTGCAGCAATCCACCAATCAGGCCTGTATGGTAGAGTGGCCAGACGGAAGCCACTCCTTAGTAAAAGGCGCATAGAAGCCCGTCTGGAGTTTGCCGAAAGGCACCTGAAAGACTCTCAGACCATGAGAAACAAAATTCTCTGGTCTGATGAGACAAAGATTGAACTCCTTGGTGTGAATGCCAGGTGTCACGTTTGGAGGAAACCAGGCTCCGCCCATCACCAGGCCAATACCATCCCTACAGTGAAGCATGGTGCTGGCAGCATCATGCTGTGGGGATGTTTCTCAGCAGCAGGAACTGGGAGACGAGTCAGGATAGAGGGAAAGATGACTGCAGCAATGTACAGAGACATCCTGGATGAAAACCTGCTCCAGAGTGCTCTTGACCTCAGACTGGGGCGACGGTTCATCTTTCAGCAGGACAATGACCCTCAGCACACAGCCAAGATATCAAAGGAGTGCCTTCAGGACAACTCTGTGAATGTCCTTGAGTGGCCCAGCCAGAGCCCAGACTTGAATGCGATTGAACATCTCTGGAGATCTTAAAATGGATGTGCACCGACGCTTCCCATTCAACCTGATGGAGCTTGAGAGGTGGGCGAGACTGACCAAGGAAAGGTGTGCAGCTTGTGACATCATATTCAAAAAGACCTGAGGCTGTATTTGCTGCATAAGGTACATCAACAAAGTATTGAGGAAAGGCTGTGAATACATGTGATTTTACTTTTGCTATTTGGTGTCAGTCTTTGTGTTGTTGGGGGAAAACAGGTGCTCAAGCCCTTGATGATATCAGTCAAAATTACTGATGTAAGTATTATGGATCATTGTGTAATGTAGGTAGGCAGTATTAAACGTGGAGCTTCCAGTTCCTCATCCATGTACTGCTGTGCCTATCTATACCTGCTGTCTAGACAAACCAATCAAGTTGGTCAGGTTCTTCTGGGACGAATGCTATGGTTGGCTGCACCACATCCGCGACTGTCCGCAGTCTCGGTCGGCTCCGCTCGCCATCTGAATCCTCCTGATTTCACCGGCTAGTTTATAAACAGCTGGAGTGCCATTTCGCTTAAAAAAAAATAGGCTTTACTGCCTCTGTCATACTCAAGGTGGAAGTTTTAATGAAAAACACTCTAGCAGTTGATTTAAAAAAACAACGAATGATATTCTAAATGGTCTCAGACTATTGGTGCTGAGTTTGTGCTGAATAAAAGCATTTATAGTACATTGGGATAAATGATTTTTAGGTGAAATATTTAAAAATGTCAAGGCATGTCAGCCTACCTCCAAAGTGGCTAAGACACCTCAGACTCCAAAGGGTTAAATGTGGAAAAAAAATAAAAGGTCAGTTCAACCTGCTAAAGTATTAAATGTGCTCAGTGGAAATTATGCTGAAAAGTGTGTTTTCACTGTGCTGCTGTATAATGATGGACGGCACAGTTCAGTGTGGTCTAACAGCTATAATGTGGTGTTTATGTATAGTCTGATCCATTTTAGATTCTAGATAATTGCACTCAGTGTAGTGGATGCAATTTGTCCATAGTTTAATCTGAGAAAAGCTGAACTATTGCAGAAACTCAAAATTCGACTTATGTTTGACTTTCCATGAGCATACCAACAATCTTGTATGAAATTGTCATTATGCATTATTCATGAAACAATTTTAAAATGTTATAATATTTATTCAATTTAATCTCCTGTACATTTTTTTTGAACCCTCAGCTGTGAAATTACTGCGTAGCTACAGAGGAAATAAACAAATTAATAGGTCATTTTTTAATTTATTGTCCCTTGCAATATTAATTCTGACCTCAGCACAAAACCAAAGACACAACTGACTGTGGTTGACTGTGGAGGTATTTTTCATTTGCCCCATCAAGCTGGAGCGGTACTACATAAAATAATTGTGACATTGAATATTCCAAGATGCAGGCATATATACCCGTAGGACAAGTATTGTGTAGTTAATAATATAGATTTTACATAATTTAAAGATTGTTTGTTTCAAGAGGACTGGGTAAAAAAATCAAGGTATCGAATTGGTTCAACCCAGATATACAGTAAGAATGGAATAAAAACATGTCTTAGCAGATAAATGAAAATAGACATGTGCAGTGACTGTTTGATGCACCAGCATTGATGGCCGATTGACTGTTTCCCATATAATGTCTGTCTACCTCTCAGGTGTATGTGAGTGAATGTGGGTGTGGGTTTTTTTGCTCTTTATTACAAAAGCTTGCACAGTCAATAATAATTTCAGCACAACAGAGAGGAAAAATATCCTATTACAAGAAGTCTGTCAGAAGGTGATGTTGAATGTAAGCAAATATGTTTTTCTTTATTTTCATTTAAGATTGAGTATTCATTTTAGGGGGAAATGGGAACAAAAATGTTAGTTTGTTTATTATTGCTTAAAGAAAATCCAATTTGCCACGTAGATTGACAAGAAAGTGGTGCCCGCTGAAGGACACGTCATGAGGCGGTACAGTAAGTACTGCTTCAGGCACCTAGAAATCAGACCCGTGTTGTTCTGAACCTGCAGCAGCCTTGTCTCAAGGTTTGCAATGGAGGAAATGATATTCATGTGAGCGATCATAGATCACATCCATGGAATGAATCTCATGGACGTTTTACGGCAACGGAAAGTGAATCTACAGGTTGAGTCTGTGAATTCCTGGCTTGGTAGATATGGCAAATTTAATACTGATTTAATTGCATTTTCCATGAACAGTGTGGTGATTTTCACTCTGACTCTGCATGTATGTACTTCCTGCTGTCGGTCTCATTTGTTTTATTCCACCAGTCAGAGACACACTTCATTCTGCAGTCCCCATACTGACACCTTAAAAGGTGTTTGAGCCAAAATGTGATGCCTGATTATGTGGAATGAAGTTCACAGGGCAAGCAAAGTCCATCCACAAAAACGAAAGGAATTTAATTTCGTAATTTTATTTTACTTAAACGATCTGTTTATTTCGCAAATTACTGACCCTGGGGTTGACATCAGGTCACAAACAGAGGGATGCAAAGGCAACACTAAGAAAAAACATATTTTTATGAAATGGTACCATGGATACTAGGATATGTGTCCAAGTGATGGAATTTGTTTATTTGCTGAGGCTTGTTGGGGTGACAGATCTGAGGAACGGTGTATGAACTGCTGGGAGACTCATGGCAATGACTGTACCTACAGGAGTCCAGGCCAGTCGAGGGCTGTGAAGAGCTGTTGTAGAGGAGCTGGAAAGCCGTCAGCAGCCAGGGAAGGGTATAGTCTGTAAATGAGCGGGAGAAATCTGCTGGGACTGCAGAACGCTTCTCTTACAGGCCTTGTGGAGCGGGAAGCTGATGCCCCATTGGTTTACCCCTCCCCCGTGCTTGCTCTGATTTGCCATCGCGCTCCCCGGTGCTTGTACTTCCGCCAATAACGGGAGCCAGAGGGGAAGCCATGTCACCTGTCTCCTTATTTAACCTCCAGCAAGACAATTTAGTAAACAACAGGGTCCTTTAAGGGCTTCTGCTCTAGCTGTCAGCCCGCACCCTTGTGTAATGAAAGACCAAAGAAAATCAAATGTATGTGCATGATAAGGCATAATGGCACTATCTTGTAGTAATAATGAATACATATGTGACATGGAAGCTCCTGCATAATACATAAACAATCAAGCTCTTCTTCATCATTTTATGTCAGGTGTTTTTTTGGTGTTTTTTACGATACATTCTGTTGAATAAATCTACCCCAGCCTCATGCTATTAACAAAAACAATCATCATCCATTTTTAAGTGAGCAGGAGAACCGCAAATGCATTTGACATCAAGAAAAAAAATCTTCCTTCTCTTGGCCTTTAACCGTTTCTTTTTCTGATTAAGGACAGGGATGGTGTTTTTTTTTTTTTAGTCCATATTTACTCATGTCACACTCCTGAGGTTTGAGCGGTGAAGGTGAATTTGAAAAATCGCATCACCCTCTTCCCTCCAGCCTTCAGATCTCACTGCAGGTTTCAGCTCCTTTCCTATGAAGAAAGAAACTCCATCACGTTAATGGGTGTAGTTTTCAGAGCCATATTTGCCAGGGCATTGTGGGAACCCCCCTCAAAATCCATCCCCTTCATCTTTACCAGAAATAGAACCTAGTAAATAATAATAATAATAATAATAATAATAATAATAATAATAATAAATACTATAGCATGAAGCCCTCTTATTCTTTGAGGAATAATCAAAAGTGTTTTCATTTACTGTGTTTTCTAATCTTTGTAAGAAGAGTAACTAACATGCAAGCTGAAAAGAAAATTATTAGATGCCCTTTGATGAAGAAATTAGAATCACTGTCACGAACGGAAGCATCATTATGCATTGTGACTATTTGCTTTTCATACCAAACAGCTCTTTAAATGCCATTAAAGAATTTACAATTTTAAACATACAATGAAAAGCAAGACAGCACTCAAGCAAGAACTAAATTCCAAGTGTCTGTCTGTCTGCCTCTCTGTCTATATGTATCTGTCTATCTGTCTGTCTGTCTGTCTGTGTCTATGTCTATACCTGTATGTCTATGTGTGTGTATGTGTATATATATATATATATATATATGCACAAGCTGGCACAGTGGCTCAGTGACTCGACAGGGATTCGTTTCATCTCTGCTCTGTGTCTCCATGCAGCTTTCATGTTCTCCTTGTGTGTTGCAGATCACCTCCTGCAGTCCAAAAACTTGAAGTGAGACTAGGTTAGAAAGTTAGAAGGTGGACAGGGGGCCTTAGAGTTAAATCCAAAGCACAGAGGTGGCTCACCTGTGTATCCGACTTGCTCAGGGCCTCCTATAAGGGGGGAAAGGGGAACATTTTCAGGGTTCTGGGGGTGGGGTGCATAAGTGTGAGTGTGGATAAGGGTAGCTTTACTTTGGGGGGGGGGCATTTGGTAGAATCCTCAGGGGACCAGCCACACTTCTGTGTGGCCCTGAGCTTCCTACCAGCACGGCTGAGGAAATCATCATCCATCCTGCCCAGCTTCACTTGCTAAACGCGAATAACTTTGCTCACTCATTCGGAAGGTCAGTGCTCCCCAGGAGGTGCCGTTTTATTGTCTTTATTTGGGAGTGCAGACAGACTGACAGTGATTAATTTTCCAGAGATGCGGAAACAGGGAGGAGGGTGAAGGGGCGGGGGTGGCGGGGGGTGGCAGGGGTGCAGCCATATGTTCAAGTTCGACAGAAGTGAGAATCGGAGCAAAAGTGACTTTTAATTAAATTCCACTAACGCAAACAGAAGTGGTTTGAAGCAATTAAAGAAGCATTTTAAACAGCAAAGGAATACCGATAAACTTGTGTGAGGTCTACACAGAGGGGTTCTGTCGGTTCTCGTAATTAGCCATGTCGCTCTCTCACAGAGGCCCTTAATGGAAACATTTTTGACACATGAGCCTCATGGATTAGTATGTGAAATGCCATAAAACTCTGAAGACGCCAGGATTGGCGCGAGACTTCATCACTACTGCCAAATAATGCTATATACAGTACGTTTTATTAAGATTATAAATAAAGTTAACTTATTTCTGGATGCCATCTGACTAAAACTGAAAAAAAGTCATAAACAAACAAAGAGCTAGTTGGAACACACACACACACACACACACACGTAACATGCTATGGGCAACATACAGATGACTTAGGCTCATGGGAATTTACACAAAAATGTTCTTAGGGCAGAAGGGAAAATTAGATAACCAATCTGATTATAGAGGGGGTGGGTTCAAGCAACTAGAGGAGGCAGTACCAACCAATCAGATGCACAACCAGTCATTTCTTGTTCTGCCCTCAGAGCACCTATTACCCTAACTGCGGTAGGAAACTTGCATGACCTGGGAAGAACATGCAAACTGCAGACTATTAGGAGGAGGCAGGTCTAAGGCTCCTCACGCAGGACGGGTGAGAGCAGCACTGCCCATTGAGCCTTGCTGCTGACCTGTATCTATATCTTTGTAATGTAGATGGCACTGCAGGGCATCGCAACTACTCTAACTACGGCTGGTAGCTAATCAAGCCTCAGCCCAAAACTGAGCCAGCAAGGAGAGGGATTGGGGGCAGCAGGAAAAGGATCTGATAGTTGGCGTTTCCACTGAAGAACATCTTGTCTTGTTTCTGAGCTCTACTTTATGTTCTCCTTTGTTGCCACCATACCTGAGCCCCTGCTGCCCCACACCCCAAACACAGATCCCCAGCATGCTGTTTCTAGGGTATTAATGGTATGCTGTGTTAATAGACCACTTTTCCACTGTTCCCTGCAAGGCAGATTTGGAATTAATTCATCCATCTGTCCATCCATTTTCTGTAACCACTTGTCCTATTCAGGGTCACAGGGGGTCCGGCGCCCATCCCAGAAGCTATGGGCACAAGGCAGGGAACAACCCCGGATGCCATCCTTTGGTAGGGCACACTCACACACCAGTCACTCACACATGCACAGCTATGGGCAATTTGGCAACTCCAAATAACCTCATTTTGTTTTTGGACTGTAGGAGGAAACCAGAGACCCGGGAGGAAACCCCATGATGACACGGGGAGAACATGCAAACTCCACACATGTGGGGCCAAAGTGGAAACTCAATCCATGGTCCCAGAGGTGTGAGGCAACAGTGTTGACCAGTGCTGACCACTGCACCAGCATGCTGCCCCGTTTTGGAATTTATATATTTTTTACAACCATCACCCATAGAAATTTTCAGGTGTCCCAGAGACAGGAAGATTCATGCTATGGCCAAACTTTAAGTGTGACGTTCTAGTCGTAAGTGGAATCACCGGCATGTTGTTATATGTCAAACTTAGTTAGAGAGTGGATAACTTTTAAGAACAATTAACAAGCATTCAGGCCCTCTGCAAGTTACTGTATAGTTAATCTTCTAAATCAAACTAAAAGTACATGATCTTCTATAAGGTGAGGAGCAAAACCCCAAATAGACACTGTCCGTCTTGATATAATCACCCCTCACAGTGCAAAAACACGCAGTTAGCTGAACTGAACTAGCAGAGACACATGTGCAGGGTTTTTTTTTAGAAATGACATCATTGTCTAGAATGAGCAGGACACTTCAGCAGCTTCCTTTCAGTGCTAACAAGCACTTCACGCTCAGGACAGTTTTAGCATGAGTTCATCTGTCGTACACCATGACAGTGCAGTCTGGGTATTCATACATGCAGCCTCGGGCCGTTTAGCGTGTTCGGCGTGAGCCTCTAATCTAACCTGTAATCTCCATGAGCCGTTTTGCATTTCAGCAGTCTGGACTGGCATGCATTTTCATAGTGTCAGCTTAAAGATACGGCTTCCTTATGCCTGCCCATTTCTCTGCCAGCGAGGACTGGGCACCATGCGGGAAGTTGGACTCAGCTCTGCGGCATCATCTCCGCTTTCCATATTTTCTCTCCGGTATGAGTCATACCCATCCCCGCCTCTGACTCACCTACTGTACCTTTAACGGCCCGACGCCCGGCAGAACAGACGCCACTGACATGAGGAGCACGATGCCCTGCCACATGCACCACATGCGGAGAGCTACCGGGGAACAGGGCCCTGTAAACTCCCATGTGCTTTACAGGCTACTGAAGCTGCTCTGTAGAAGGCAGGAGAGACGCTGCATCCCGATCGCTCCCTCCAGCGCTCAGCATAACAATTTCCCCCCTGGGTTGTAGGGGCTAAACTTGTATTCATATACTAATTTCTGCTTCTATCCAGTTCAGCTGAAAGACATTATCTAAAACCTCTTCAAATACTTTTTTCTTCCTATAATGATAACACAGATTTTTGGGTAATAACTTAAGTAGAGAAATAGGAGCAGGGGTGGTGTGCAAAAGCACATTTTGAGACGGATATCCTAGTTACATGAAGGCTATGACAGTGCACATAGGACCCCATTACAGTTCTACTTAGAAACATGGAAGTTTGGCTGAAAGGTTATACTGTATATTCAAGAGGGTCACTGGTATGCCCTTAAGAAAAATTTCAACTATTTTTCAATGTCATTCGATTAAAACGCCTCCTGTGACCTAAATGTTGTGTAGTGCTAGTCTTTACTTACTTTCTTGCTTTTCTTGTTTGTTGTGCCAGTGTAGAGAATTACATAAGCTACACTGTCGTGTCACAATACTTTGAATGTCATACTTAAGGGAGAGAAATGCTTTGTAACTGTGACTTTACCATAAATAGATCTTATTTATTCCTGGTTATAACCTGCATTGGGAGGGGGGAGTTCTCCTCTATCATCTTTTCAAATAACTGCTGAGAAGAGGCTGTGCATATCATTTAAAAAATTAAAGCAATGTGATGTAAAAGGAGATGATCAAAGTATCATTCTATAAAGAACAGAATAATTTACTGACTAAATAATTCACTCCCTGACACAACAGTTAGCTGGATTCTGTATTTATATTTGAACATATTCACCCAGATATCAGAACTCCAAGTTAAAGTACATATTACCCCCATTTTATGTTATGAATTATTTTCTCTCATCTTCAGACGATCAGCACATGCTGATGATTCTAGCAGACTGATGCAACTGTCAGGTGTGATGAGTGATGACTCACAGTCATCGGCGGGAGATGAATGGAGAGACTAAAAATAACAGATGAAAAACAAACGTAGCTGTTGTTTCCACTGAAAAAATACCAAATTGCGTGCTTCCTAATGCATCTGCTTGCTTTGGCAGAAAGACAATATTGCTTTTAATTTGGCATGTGGCTATAGAAAGGTTTCCGCAAAGGGATGAGCAGAGTGGGCTGTCCTTTCAGCACTCTCTCCAGCCTGTTTCCCTCCTTCAAGTACAGGGGGAAGTTACATGTTTAATATGTACAAAGAATCCCCAGACTCAGAGATTTTGCATCAGCATACAGCCTGTCCATTGCATAAAGGTGATAAGAACCATTTCTTTATAACATTTTTTTTGCAAAACGGTAGCACTGCAGAGCTGAGGAGGAACTGACTTATTTTAGCTACATAAGACCTTGTTATACTAAGTTAGGAGCAGCACAGTATGGCAGTAAATCCCAGTGAAACACACAGGCTTGCCATCCTGCCAGAGCTCATCACCAAAACATAATATCCTGTGACAGACAGTTCCAAGATTATGTTGATTAGTAGTCCAGCGAGTTTCCATCTGCCTCTTCAGAGACTGTTCCTTCCCTCAGCCCTAAGCCCCAGTTCCCTCTCCTTCTGCTGACTGTCCGCTAATTCAATCAACGTTGCCCCAGCCCCAAGTCAACTGGGATGGGAAGCTGGCATCCTGGAAAGCACAGACCCTTGAGCAACTCCAGAATGACTCCAGGCACTATCCTCACAGTGCCTTCCGATTGGGCGACAGAGGTCCCAGTTTGGTCAGGGAGGGTCCATCACAGCTGGGCTATTTATAAAAATTAAACCAAGCAAAGACCTTCCCAGTTTGGTCCCAAGGGTCATAGAAATGTACCTTCAGTACTCTGGCCACCATGAGGGAATTTTTTTTAAGTAAGATCTTTACAAACTTGTTTTTTTTCAGATGCCTGAGGCAAAACTCTGTTCCACTTTCGATTTTAAAGTTCAGTGTTTCCATTGCAATAGTATTTTTGCTGACAATGTGGACCATGCATGAGTATTTGCACGTCTACATAAACAGTGCCTTCCTCAGAGTGCTTTAGTCCTGATGCTGATAAAACAGTGTTTACGCGGAAAAATGTAAGAAAGTAATTCAATAAGAGAAAAGGCTAAGAGTAGGCCTACGTCCATCTGCCAGCTTCTAGCAAAGAAAGGGAGGGATTTAAAACCAGCACAGGGCCAATGAAGAAGCTGTAGTG